CAGTATAGGCAATAGTCTTAACCGGTAAGGCAGACTGCACTTAGGCACTTATAGAGGAAACTGAGTGATGTCAGATCTGTAACTTAGATAGTATATAATATTTTATATTAGCTTTGATCTAATAAAGATACTAGTGAGGCTGCCAATACATTAAAAAAAAATCATTGATCAAAAAGCAGCATATATAATAGCATAATTATGCATGTATTGTGTTTTAAATTAAATTTGTATTAGGTTAAAATTAAATATTAGGTTGGGTAGATATCTATTTCAAAATCTAAACCTGGTTATTCACGGTTAAGTTATCTAAGTAGTAATATTTATAATTACAGTTTTTATTATTATTGTATTTTTTTTACTTTTTTTTAATTTAGTAATCCTTCCTTTATTTTATTTATTGGAAGCAGATTACAAATATGCCTTTAGCTAGCTAGACTTACATGCAAATTGTTAATACTACTATATTCCTATACAAATAAAAAATCTCTCGATCTGTTTCATTATCACAGTAAAACTATGGCTGAAGCTCAGGATTTTACGCTAGAGTATAACCCAGGAGCGACCTGCCTAAGTGACAATTTTTCTTTATCTGGGATCAACTTACTGAGGATATAAGACCCAGACTTCACCAGATAGAAATACCAACCTTGTCAGAATCACTGCTCTACAATAGAGTATTACCAATCTGATGACACTTTCTCATAGAGAAGTAAAAAAGAAAAAAAAGAGGTAAGGGTAGAGTGAAAATAGGGAAAGTAAAAAAAACTAAAACATATAAGAAAATGATTAAATTATAAAAGAATCTAAAAAACTATTCTAAAATCTAAGAGAACTTGTCTACAGATATAAAAATCTGCTAACAGGTAAAAAAACTATTTATATGGTCATAAAAATCTATACATAGAGCTATCTGACAAAAAAGAAACTAAGAAATAAAATGTACTTTAACCTGTGCCAAAGACTAAAAATTATATACATATGACTCCGAAATACTGCATATCTCTATTATATTGCTCTAGTTTACAACTCTCATAAAATCTATCTCGAATTCTAGAATGCCAATTGTAAAGCCTTGACATGTGATCGTCAGTTCTATTTATACTAAGCTACTCTTTTCGAATTACAAAATCTTCTAACAGTTTTCATAATATGCCTTGCCTCTTCGCTATACGAGATTAAACAGAGGGTCTTCCCTATAGTCTACTGGCATTATTGGAAACTACTTCCTCAGATCTGTCACATAAGGCCTTCATTTCTGTATAGTCAAAGCCGATCCAACATAGGACTTTCACATACTTTGATTTAACCCAAATAGGACTTTCTTCTCATATATGATTGTTGTGTTTCTTATTCATCATATCGTAACTCGAGACCTTTCGAAAATAGAAATATAAACAATACCAATCTTTTGGAAAGGGTAGCCAAATCCTCCACTTTTTATTGAAAATTATGAAAAAAGAAAATAGCAGAAGAAAAGTATAGTTTTGCAAGTTTTTCAACCAAGGAGTATTATTTCAAGAGTTCTTCACAGCCTTCTGTTCCCAAATAACTTGAGTTCTTCTTCTACTTACTATTCCCAAAGACTTCTTTAGTTTGGATGCCAAACACAAAAGGGAGTCTACCTGAGAAGACAAGATAAAAAGGCTGACTCCTTTGCAAACCGTTCAAAATGCCTGCTCCTTGGTGTATCACGTTTGAGACTTTGTTACAACAGTTCGTATTAAGAAAACTTCAAGTTATTTGTTCACTTCTGGTCTTGAGTCTTCAACTTGCTTTCAGAGACTAGTTAGTACAAGTGATTATTGGGGAGAGTTGATGTATTGACTAACTAATTTGTTTGTTATTATTATTATATATATTTTTAAAGTTTATTTTCTAATATACAATTTTTAGATTTAATAATTGCAATAGTTTTTTCTTTAACAAAACATATTTTGAGCTCTGTTTATTTTACTAACAATTTAGTTTATCTATAGTTAAACCAGACCAATTTGATTTCTGTTTAATATTATCCCTACTCCTTTCAATTTTTTTTAAAATTACAAAAACTAATACACATAATATTAAATAACCTCTCTATTTTTCAAAATCTATATAGTCAAATTTGTATCTAATATTATTATATTTTTTTTAATTTTTTACCCTCTTACAAGCCATCTTATATTATATTAAACAAAAAATTAACTTGGTTTAGCATTATTAATAGTTTATTTTAACTTATAGTTGCTTTACTTATAAAGTAATTTTGATTATTATTATTAGATTAGATATAAAATTGAGTTAAAGTTAGTATAATTTTAAAAAAATTATTAAAAAAATAAAATACGGTAATTATTAATAAATAAATTTCTAACTTATTTTATATTATTAAAAATAAGAATTTATTAAAATAACATATTATAACTTGGAGATATTAATTATTTTTACTAGTTTTACTATTTTTTATCAATTTTGCTACCTTTTAATAGTTTTACTAGTTTGCTATTTTGCTATTTTAATTTTTTTAGCAAAATTCAAAACTAGTTTCAATAGCAAACTTTTATTAACACTAGTAGTAGACATTGTGGCAGAATTTTGTGATTGAATTTGGCCAATCAGAATGCAGTATAATATTACAGTATTACAAGATCACAGATTTGAGAGTTTATATATCACAAATCTGGGAGTTTATATAATATTGAATAATATTATTGATCACAAATTTTATTATATTTGATTTTACTATATAAGGATCTGTATTACTACTATAATACGAAAACAATACTCAACACTTCAAAGATTTTTTAAACTCTACAAGTTACTTTATTACAGTACAAAGCTAGCTTTTTTATAGCACTATTACTCATAAAGCAAACTTATTCACTAAATATATTTAATTTACTAAATTCACTAAAGTCACTTTGATAAGTTTGATAAGTTTATAAAATTTGATAAATATCAAACTTTTATGACTTTTGAATAAAGTAATAACTTGTATTTATCTAGTTTTGAACTTCAGTATATATTATGTAAGTACTAACTAATATATATATTTTTTATATCAAACTATACTAAAAGAGAAATAACAAAAATAGCAATAATCAAATAATTGAATATACAAAAAAAAAAATATTAAATAAAAATGAGTAATATTAATTTACATATAATCAAATATATAATATAATTTTTTGTTATAAAAGTGTGTATATATTTAGATATTTTTGGACATGGATATTAAAGATAGAAACCTTTCACAACATATATATATAATTTTATTATTTTTTTAACTAATTTTTTTATTATATATTATTTTATTAAATTTGATAATATTCATAATTTAGAATTTTGTTTTATTTGGTCTTTCATATTTTTTTGGGTGAGTTTTTTCTCTGTTATTATTATTTTGATCAATGTTTGTAAATTTTGATATCAGGCTTTTGGGTCATCCTTGTTTCTTAGAATGTTGGCTTCTTTAGTGAGTAGTAACTATTGACATCATTAGAAAATACTTATTACATTCTGGACAACAAAGTTAAGTATAATTGACTTTGCTAATTGATAGACAATAAGCATCATATCCTGGTATTTTATCTTTGTTAAAAAATTCTAACAAATGTATGGGATTAATATAGTGCTCGTCTTTGCCCATAGTTATTAGAGGAAGAAATTGTTATTTACTATAAGAAGACTAGCTGCTTCTTCACATCTATTTGGTAAACAATACATAATATTGTTGCAATTTTTTATGTTTAAGAAATAGTTGTATATTCTTGTATGAGTTTCTAGCTACTCCTAAGATATGTTAGTTTCATCATTAGATTTTAAAAACTTGATAGAAAATGAAAAGCTATTTGTTTTGACATACTCTGCTATAACTAGTTTTTCAAATAATAGATCCTGTTTCTAATGGTTACATAACAATTCTTTAGCATATTTGAAATTTTTTTTAGTAAGTTCTATATCAATAACTTGACCCTGTAAGTTTAAATAAGAACCATAGGTATCAACAGGTAATATAATGCTCGCAAGTTTTTAGAAAAGTATTGACATATCCTGCTCTATAGATTATATTTGAATTGATCTAAAATAATAATTAACCACCTTTAGTACTTTAACAAAAGTTTTTTTTGAGTAATTTTACTATAATAACTACTTAATCTTTAAACTTATTCTAAGTGCTAATCCTAAAATTAATAGTTTTTAAAAATTTTGTTTGTGCCATAATTTAGCTCAGAATATTTTAATACAATAAAATTATATATAATTAATTAATTGATTTTCAAATAATCTTATTTTGCTTATTACTAATTTTAGCTAGTATTATAGTTATGATTATATAAATTTATCATTTATCAACTAATTAGCTAAAATAATTTTAGTTAATATGATTACTAATCTGAAGTATATATTCGAATAGTTAAATAGTTCAGGTTAAATGTATAAAATATTGTAACATATTGTACAATATTTTTCATATGTCTAAGATTTTTATCTGGGCCTCTGTTAACAAGAAGGATCCAGATAGGCTTTATTTTATTTTTAATTTTTAGTATATCATCTAGACAGGTGTTTTCTACTAGTGAATTTAAATTATATATATATGTTAAAGAGCTTGTGCTAACTCTATATTGTGAGCAAATGAATATTAAAAGTTGGCAATAGTGAAGCGTAGTATTTGTATTATTAAAATTTATCATTAGATATACCAATAATATAAGTTTTTGTTGCATACTCACTGGAAAATTATGATCTGAAATTGTTATAAGCTCTCTAATTGTTTGCATAGCACAAAATATTCTACTAAGTGCTAGAATATCAAGAAAAATCTTGGCTTTGTCATCTTGTGAGATGACAACTGAAAACTTTGAAAATAAAAAAACAAATTGTCTTGCTGCCTTTACAGAGACAAAATAATAATACTCATCTAGATGCTCACTTGTGTTAGTTCAGGATATAGTTAAAACTATGATATAGGCAAGATGATAGTATACTTTGGTAGCAATTAAATTTGACTGAAATGGTCAGAGATAATTATTTACAATAGCTTTAGAGATATATTTATTATAATGTTTTCTAAGATCATCTGCAAGGTTATTAACAGTTTTAACTTTTACCACTTCTTTTCTTCTATTTTTATCTGCGGCCGAATTCAATACTCTCATATATGTAGTCAAGTAAGTCTAGATGTTTTTATAAAAAGACTGGTAGCCTGGCTTATCATATTTAATAATTGTTTGCTGTTCTTTTAAAAGGTCATTTCTAATATAGGGCTAGAAATAGTAAGTATTGATATTCAAATTAAGAGAAAAAAATAAAAAATAAAAAATATAGAATAATAAACCTTTTTTAACACTTTTGCATCTATTAAAAATTTTTTTAAGTTTTCTAAAATTTTATATATTTCTGAAGCTAGAAAAAATTTTACTCTTAAGACAAATATTAATTTTTACAAGTTAATTACCAGATTTATAATAATTAAAATTATAATCTATTATTCAAACTATAAAGTTGTAT